CCGTATAACGGCTAGGCATTTGAGCTTAGTAGCGCTGTAATTTTGTTCGGCCTAATTGAGGGTACGGCTCGCATACCCGTTCGCCCTCAGGGAAATTATGTGCCAGTACAGCCCCTAATCCGGTCGCGCTGGTGTCGGTCCGTAAGACGAAACGGTGCGTGAAATCTGGACAGGCGAGAACCGGCGCGGTCGTCAGGGTCGTTTTTAAATGCTTGAATGCGTGTTCTTCTTCGGGCCCCCACGTCCACCGGGCGTGTTTGCGGGTCAGCGTGGTGAGCGGCGCGACGACGGTTGCGAAGTTCTGTATGAAGCGTCGGTACTAGGAGGCGACTCCTGAGAACTGCCGGATCTGCTTTACAGTTTGTAGCCGGGGCCACCGGGCAAACAGTTTTGACTTTCTTGGGGTAGATGCGGATCTCTTCGCGGTCGACGATGTGCCCTAAGTATTGTAAGCGGTCTACGCAGAACCGACGTTTGTCCGGATTGAGTTTCAGGTTCGCGGCGCAGAGCCGTCGGAAAACTTTGCGTAGAATTCAGAGATGTTCTTCGAATGTTTTGCTAATAATTATAATGTCGTCCAGATATACGAACACGTAGGGCTCTAATTCGAGTCCGAGCACGGTATCTAGAAGTCGCTGGAATGTGGCGGGGGCGAAGTGCAGGCTGAACAGCATTACCTTGAAGTGACAGAGCTCTTTCCCAGGTACGGGGAACGCGGTGCTTGGTTGGCTGGTCGGAGTGAAGAGGACCTGCCGCTTTTAAGATCGAGGGTCGTTATGTATTTACCGCTGCGTAATTTATCGAGGGTAGCGGTAATCTGTGGTAGGGAATATGTATCGGGCTTGGTTGCGTCGTTGATCCTCCGGAAGTCTATACAGAATTTGTGGCTGCCGTCTTTTTTCCGGACTACGACTGCGGGGGAGCGCTGGACTACGCTCCATGTGCTGTGAGAGCGTTCTATGACTCCGTCCTGCTCCATTTTTTCGACTTCGTTGTCAATAATGACCTGCATGGACGGGTTACGGGGCCGATATCTTTGTTTTATCGGGCTGGCGCATAGTAGTCCTAAATCCCAAAACCCTGGCCAAAATATGAAGGCGTTTTTCAATTTAAATAAAAATTGGTACACTAAGGTTTTCGAGGTCGTTGATTACACAGGCACACAAAAAAAAAAAAGGTTTTGTCTACCAGACGAGACAAACATTTCTATACGTTTTTGGGGTCGCCGAATCCAAATCCGGAGTCGGTTTGACTCGGTTAGATCGCATTTTGTTTCTAACCTCAAAAAAGTGATGAAAGTTGAAACATTTATTGAAATGCCCAGAAAGGAAAGCGATTATATGTTTTTAGGGTCGCTGAGTCCAAATTCGGGGTTAGTTTGACTCGGCTAGGCCGCATTTCATTCCTAACCTCAAAAAAGTGATTGAAAAAACCGAAAACTGACCCTAATATAAATTTTTTGTATTCAGCGTTGGGTACATAGAACTTGTTAGTCATTTTTTTAGCATAAAATCCTGCTGCCTTGACAGATACTGTAACGATGACAACTGCCCCGAAAGGGGATGTGTAGAATGATTCGTTCTCAGGTTTGTTGAGGTAACGATGCCAGCGAAGGCGCGCTGCCTTGCAGGTGGGCGTGAGGGTGTAAGAATGAAGCCGTAGTGTGTCCGACGACGAGTTGATATAGTCCTCGTCAATGTCGGAAAGCTCTCATACTTAGGCCTAGGGAGGTATGAGAGTTATCACCCCTGGGACGGTGGACTTACCTGCGGTCGGACCAGGATCCCTCACGCGCGGGTTTTTCTTAACACACATGGCACTTTTAAACAAAAAATTTTTACATACATGCAACAAGGACACCTTTAAACAAAAAATTTTTACATACATGCATCAGTGTCACAAACGTCTTCCGCCGGGATGCGTGACCCATGATCCAAAGGATTGGAGTTGTGGACAGACTCGAAGTGTCGCGAGCGTGTCGCGTAAACGTGGTGAGCAATGCGGCCGCGGACAGTTCAAGTCGCGCGAGGGTCACCTGCAGGATCGGAGCCACCTGGCGCTTGGCCATGAGCACGTGAAGTGTGGTGGAGCCGTGCCTTGTTACGCGGAGGTAGACGGCAGCGGCGTAACCTCGCTTGGATGCGTCGGCGAAGCCACGGATCTTGAGTGCGCGGTGACGACGGTGTTTCTGAGGGATCTCGAAGATTGTCTTCAGAGTTCGCGGCCCATTTACGCAACAAGAGCCCGCCCGCCGTGCAGAGTTCGCGCACTTCGGTGTGCACGGCGGTCGCGTCGTCGACGGGCTTGCGGGTTTCGGCGAGGTTCTTCGGCTGTGAAGAGACCGGCCGTCGGACGACGTACCGGCCAGCGGATGTGCGCACAGAGTGTCGCTCGCACTCCTCTTCCTCGGGAGTGAGCTTGACGAAAGCGAAGTGAGCTTGGAGAGAGCTGCGGTGACCAAAAAGAGAGGTCGCACCGCAGCCCCCTGACAAAATCCATCCCAGGATGGTTTTCTGCGCGATCGGCGTTTGCGGTTTGCCTCGGCGGAGACCATCCTCCAGGATGGTCGAGCACACCTCAGCGCTCAGAAGCAGCTCAACTGGGTTGTTGGCGGCGAAACGAAGATCGGCAAGCGGAAGCCCCTGCAGGTGAGGCCACGTGGTGCTGCACTTGATCTTGTACAGCGAGAGACGCGGGAGCATGAACGCGGTGGCGCGGCGGCGGTGAGCGTGGCTCCGGTGGTCGTCGACGTGAGGCTCATCGACACTTTGCCCGAGTGGATCCGGATTGTGAGCCGCCGATACCAAAGATTGACATTCGGGTACGCGATCGCGGCAGGCGCAGCCGTTGCACCAGGGACTCCGACACGATTGAAGCTTCGGAGCCTTGGTCGATGAGAGCTCGAACCTCGTGTGGATCCCCGTGACGGTCGGCCACGATCACGCGCGCGGTTGCGAGGAGGATCGCTTTGCGGTCGTCGGCCTTTCCGACGGCGGAAAGCGCGCTGCTTCAACGGCGGGTTTCGGCTCGGAAACGTACGCGTCGTGAAGCATCGAGTAGTGACGTGAATTACACCACAGTGGGGTATTTGGCCGATTTAGGCGGCCAAAAATCAATTTTCTAAAATTCACTCCACATATAAAAAAATGTCATTTAGCAACGCTAAATAATCAGGGAACAATTGACTACCAATTCCCACCCACACCGCGCATTTAAGGAGCCAGCAAACCTGTCAAAACTTGATCGTCTCTTTTAGTGCACGTATCTTTTCTCGGCGTTAGCATACTTTCTGCAGTAAATATTTTGTATTCGGGATATAGCTTGAAGTATATAGTTATGGATTGTGATGAAGTGGGTACGTATGAATATATTTTAACTATTTTTATGAAGATTGTAACTATTTTGACAATGCGTTTTGAAAAAACGTTTTTTCGTTATTTTCTTACGCCAATGTTAACAAACTCGAAGATATTAGTAGTACTTCCGGGTGTTTCCCGGCAATTTTTTTTACTGTAATAGAAAGATGAAGGTTTCTAATTCACGATTTCGTAAAAATCAGCCGCAGAATCGCGCACTTTTCCATGATATCCTCTAGAGAACGGGAAGTCGATTTATCGACTTTTAATGATTCAAGTAAATTTAACGAAATATTTCTTATTCTAATAAATGTACTTGGAATAATACTTTAATTTCACTTTTTTTTTATGCTGTTATATTTATTTTTTGTGTTTTTTAAATAATATTACTTGCTCTAATAAATATACTTAGAATAATACTTTGATTTCACTTCTTTTTCATGCCATTATATTTATTATACAATGAATTAGTAAAACAGCATGCTCGGGGGGGTACTTGTCGCTCCCCGGATTCGCGATTGGCCTGTACCCGGGTGGTTCGAAGGACCAGAGGGACCGTTCCCTCACGAATGCAAGCGAAATGAAATGCGAGTAAAACAGGATAAATCAAGCGAAGCGACTCACCGTATCGCAGCCCGGCGCCCTCTTAGGATGGTCTCTCGGCCGATCTCGTCTGTCCTCTCGGGTGGCGAATCCTCCTTGACAGCAAGTGGGAGGCGTGCAAGCAGACAAGGTAGCGGGCAAGCAAGCAAGCGAGCAGCAAGCAACACAAGACGGGCAAGCAGGCAAGCGCCGTTTTAACGACTTCGTCGAGCACTCGATGGTGGCTGATACTCAGTGTTATCTTGTCGGCGATTCTTACGGGAGTGCTCCGGCACTCTCTCGGCTCGCGCTCTTGGAAGTACGGCGCAAACGAGTACTATTGTCCCAATAATTGGGCCTGCCACCCGTGGGCGGGCAGCACGAGTTAGGTAAGTCGCGCGAGTATTGACACCTGTCGCCAACGTTTCGCGCGAGTCTCAAACCGACGGTAACTTTACGATTATGAGCTTACTGACTAATATACAACGAATATACGCGAATCAACAATATCAATATTATACATGTGCGACTAACTACTATCTTACAATTATATACACGTGAGCGCCAAACATACCGCCCACCAAAATACAACGTGTTGTATTTTTTAACCATGAGTGTCGGTCGCCCGCGGTAATGTGCCCATTGGCAAAGGGCACAGCTTTACTAGGGGCCGCGAAATCGAGCCGTCCGCCACCCGGACCGTGGCTACGCGCGGGACGCCATCGCTACCCGGCTGTAGCGCTTCTACACAACCGCGTTTCCAGCGCAAGGGAGGCGCGTTATCGTCTTTGATGAGCACTAGCAAGCCCACGGTGAGTGGGTGAGTCGAGGTCCACCATTTGGGGCGCTGCTGCAGGGTATTGAGATACTCCTGGTGCCAGCGCTTCCAAAAGTCTTGGTGGATCCGCTGTACTAGCTGTCATCTACCCAAGCAATTCGTCGCCAGCGGAGTCAGGTCGGGCGAAGGAACGGCCACGAGGGGCTCCATAGTCAAAAAATGTCTCGGCGAGAGGACTTTGAGATCCAACGGGTCGGTACTCAGCGGGCAGAGGGGTCGAGAGTTCAAGACTCGATTTGCGCGAGTACCGTAGTGAACTCTTCCAGCGACAGGGTTTTATCTCCCACTACGCGTCGAAGGTGGGTCTTGACGGACTTGACTCCTGAATTCCAGAGGCCCCCGAAATGAGGCGCGGAGGGAGGATTGAAGGACCACTTGATCTCTTCTCGCTCCGCTGCGTGGCACAGGTGCCTTTCAAGCTCTCGCGATGCTCTCACAAAATTAGTGCCGCAATCACTGTGCAAGAGCGAGCAGCGTCCGCGACGGGCCACGAAGCGTCGTAGCGCAGCGAGAAAGGAGTCTGTGGACAACGAAAGAGCGACTTCTAAATGGATTGCCTTGACCGCGAAGCAAACGAACAGGCACACATAAGCCTTGAAGGAGGAGACTCCCCGAGCTCGACGAGGAACTATCGAGAACGGTCCCGCAAAGTCTACACCGCTAATCGAAAACGGTTTGACGGCACCCACTCTCGCGGCCGGAAGGTCCGCCATGGGAGGTTGTAAAGCACGAGGATTCGCTCGAAAACACCAATAGCAACCGGCGAGGACGCGTCAGATCGCGCGGTGCACGCCGATTATCCAAAACTGCTGAGCGAGCAGGTATTGGAGCGCGCGTCTACCCGGGTGTAAGTGCGTACAGTGCGCCTGCTCGATGACAAGTTCGGTAAGTCGGTGCCTGTTCGGTAGTAGCGCAGGGTGCTTGGCCTCGACATTCAATCCCGAGTGGATGAGCCTGCCATCCACCCTGAGGATACCCGTTGGGTCCAGAAAAAGAGCGAGTTTGAGAAGAGGCTTGGGTGGTCTCCTCCCGTTTCTAATTCGGTCAATCTCCTCGCGCAAAGATTCCGATTGAGCGTGTTTTACTATAACTAACAGCGCCGAATGCGCTTCAAATTGATCCACGGCCAGGGTCGCGGGTACCGGCTTGGCCCTGGATCGAGTCGCAAATCTTAAGAGGTACGCAACTATTCTAGAAATCTTATCCAACGACGAAAATCTATTCAACAGTGACGATATGACGTTGGGTACATCGCACGCGACGAGCGCGACGATCCTTTCCTCCTCGCACGAAATAGCCTCGTCAGAAAGAACAGGCTCGGTGCGGGATTCGAAATCTCCCAACCACTCCGGACCTCTCCACCACGTCGCATTAGCCACGAGTTCGCGAGGTAAAAGTCCCCGTGAGCAGTGATCGGCTGGGTTGCACTCGGTGACCCCAAGCCGATACCGGAATCCTCTCCTGGATTCGAGCAACGCGATTACGAACGAAGGTCTTCCATCGGTGCGGGGAAGAAAGGATCCAATACAGAACAACCTTGGCATCGGACCAGGCGTACTCTGCATCGATGTCTAAATGTCCACGTAAGACCTGACGGACGTAAGCCATTAAGTTGGCGAGAAGCAACGCGGCGCAGAGCTCTAAGCGGGGTAGAGAGATAAGCGCGTAGCGGAGCCACCTTAGATTTGGCACATAGAATCACAATTTTGGTTTCCGAAGGAGTCACAACCCGCAGGTACACCACTGCTCCATATCCCTGTTTGCTCGCGTCGCAAAAGCCGTGTAACTCGCGACGGACGTTATCGCCTGCGGGCAATGTACGAGGAATACGAAGGGGGGCCAGCGCGTCGAATTCCGCTTGATAGCGCTCCCATTGGCGGCGAACATCTAACAGGGGTTCATCGTCCCACTCGAGCTTTAGAGTCCACAAGCGCTGTATCAATCGCTTCGCGGTAAATGTCAGTGGTGCCAAAAATCCCAAGGGATCGAAGATGCGTGCTACCTCCGATAAAATCGTACGTTTAGTGCATTTGCGAATCAGGGGGTTGAGCAAAAAACCGAAGCTATCTGACTGCGAGTGCCAGCGAAGGCCCAGAACTTTGAGCGCTTGATCTTCGGGCGATTCGAACGACAGCATTGTCTGACTGCAGATTTCTGGGTCGAGTCCCTCAAACGCGGCGGGATGGCTGCTCGCCCATTTTCGCAACTCCAAGCCGGCGCTCCGAAATAATTCGAGTAATTGGTCGCGAAGCGCGGTGGCTCGCTCGACGGTGCGGACGCTGGCCACGACGTCGTCCACGTACAGTGACTCGAGCAGTACAGCGTAGACTAATGGATACTTATCCCGGTTATCGTAAGCCAACTTAAAGAGGCAATAAATCGCCAGAAACGGAGAAGCCGTGCTACCGAAGATAACCGTTGTGAGCAAGTAGTCGAGAATGGGATCCGATTCCGAAAAACGCCAGACGATTGATAATCGCGATGTTCCGGGTTTATCCAAATTTGCCGGAACATTTGTATTACGTCCGCGGTAATAGCCACGGGATTTGCGCGAAAGAGGAGTAGGACCGCGACAATGTCGGGTTGTAATTTCGAGCCACTAAGCAAGGTATCGTTTAGGAAGAGCCCGTTCAGGCATTTCGACGAAGCATCGAAAACGACGCGAAGCTTTGTAGTAGTGCTGTCTAGTTTATGCACCCCATGATGGGGCAAATAATATACGCGACCGTCCGCGGGAAAAGGATCGTTCGCTAGCTCCATGTGGCCGTTATCTAAGTAGTCTTGCATGAAGACATTATAACTATCTCGTAATTCTTGATTCGATTTAAATCGACGCTCGAGTGCGCGCAGTCGATTAACGGCTATCGACCGAGTATCCACGAAAGTCGGGGGGTCCGAGGCGAATGGGTACGAAACAACGAAACGGCCCGAGTGGTCGCGATACGCGGTTTTGTTGAATATGTCCTTACAACGTTGATCTTCCGCGGAGCAAGAAACTTGTTCGGGCACTTCCTCCAGCTTCCAGAATTGTCCCACCGCGGCGTCGATCGA